TCCGTCTCGACAGAAACAATTTGAGCCGTTTCAACCACGACAACTGGCTCGGATGATTCAGGGACGGCAGGTTTGGAACTAATGGCCTCGGCTTTCTAACGGGCGGCCAAACGCTCAGCATTCTTTTTTCGTGCCAGTTGAGAAAGAGATTCCTTCGCCATACTCTTGGAATAGGAGCCGGGAAGATCTGCCAAACCAGTAAAAATATCTCCGAAAGAAAACTCCGCCCGACCAGAAGTGGACGGTAAGTTAGGCTGGTTAAGACTGGCTGCCTCAAACGTTGAGTTTAGAGCCTCGTCGACCTCTTCGGCCTCCGCAGCAAACTCTCTCGTTGGTTCGAAAATTACCTCGACCACCAGCTCTGCATCTTACTCCGAATCAGAAGCTTCGAAACCAATTTGCCTAAGGGTCTTGAAGTTGGGGAAGATAAGAGCCGTAAGGTGTTGTTCGTCGGATGGGATCGGAATGTCATCCGCAGCTGAGAACGTAGTATAAGTAGGCTCGTACCGTAGGAGTTTATGGGCGGTTATCCCTTGCTTTTGTACGTTTGAACGACCAAAATACTTGAGTGCGGTCTTAATTTCCGCAAAGACTGCGTCGTCAGTCGAGGTCAGAATCTTCTTCAACTTATTGCCTGCATAAACAAAGGATTAGACTTGGAGAAAAAGTCGAATAAAAAAAAGATCAATAAACACAAGGAGTTACACGGCAACCTGGTTCACCCATCCATCTGGGAATAGGGTCTAGGCGATCTTTGCCTTCGCCGAATTCCCAGTTGCCTCGGACATTGACCATTACATCGTCAACTCGTTTACCAGAGCTGGCAAGCATGGTTACCAAGTGATGGTCAGTGTCCTTGGCCCTGAGAAAGTAGCGCCCGAGCCGACCGAAGGATTTGGCTAAAGCGTAGCAGTGCAGAATCGTCGGAATGCCAAGGTTGATCCTAAGGCGCTGGTTCAACTCTACGATTCTCTTTATGATTCGAAAAAAATTCACATTGGGTTGGGTAGGAATCAGACCCCAATGGCGGAGGACGACCCTAAGAAATGGGTGCAGGGGAAAGCGAACTCCGCCCTCCGCAATGGACATGAGAGGAAAGACGATTGTATTTTGTTCATCCCTCTCCATATCAAGAGTATTGTCCGTCACCAGAGATAGATGGACATCATCAGGGATAGAAAAATGTCGTCGGAACCCAGAAATACGACACTCGGAAAGGAGGTCTTTCAAATGCTTAGCCATTTTAGTAAGGACTCAAGGGTATTCTAAATCAAAAATGAACACGGAAAATAGGATTACAAAGAGAAGAGAAGAAAACTTACGAAAGGCAAAGGAGACAAGGAGAGACGGGAAGAAGTTGCAGAAGACGCAAGACAGAGAAGAGATACCGGCTAGCAATCTAGGAGGCTCAAATATTCAAAAAAGCATGCATTCGAAGAGACTAGAGTTTCAAATCATAATAAATGCAAAAGATGCACGAATAAGGCGGGAATGTATAATGATGACCAAAAGGCGTGTGCGTTCTGACATTCACATTGGGATAGGTGAAGCTGCCTAACTTATGTTTCTCTTGACTTTTCAAATTCGAAACCAAACACACCAATTAACTGCCGTCAATAAGGAGTTTGGAGGGCAATTGTGGGAACCGAATACAAAGCAGAATCAAAAGCGTACGCTCTAGAAGATAGACATTACTCGGCTCTAACCTGCACGATCAAGAAGCCGAATACAATAAATAGGCCGAGTGACTATTGAACTATGGGGCCAAATAAATAAGCGGATAGTGAGCGAAAAGTGGACCAGGCCCCGAGGCCCAGGAAACGAGTATAAATAAAGGAACAATAGTCGAAGAAAGGTATGAGAGAACTAGTATGCTTAACTTAAAATACAAGTAACCTAAAGAGAGTGGAGACTGACTTGTCCGTCAGAGTGCTAATTCCGGCACCCCGACTGGAGTGTTCATTTCTTTTCAGATGTCTATTTGAGAATCGCGAGCGTCTCCCAGGATCAGAAGAGTATTTCCAAACCAGTTCTCCACACACACACACATATATATATATATATATATTAGTCAAACTATATTTTTTGGGATTAAGGACAAAGGTTGTATTTGTTTGGACGGACTGGATAAGGGGGATTGTAATCCATCGGACTATTAGTCCCGGAATACATTGTCCATGGACTATTTGGTTAGACCAGATTTGTATCCTATGTTTGTTTAGTCATGGGATTATATGTCTGGATTGAACTATTTTTAGTGAATCCAATATTTAGTTAGACAGACTGGATAAGGATAAATATTCAAAAGACTATTTTACACTTGTAATTTATAATTTTTATTTAATATATAATTTTAAATTTGTAATCTATAATTTATAATTTAACAACACTAAAAAAATTTAATTTATAAAGCCATAATTTATAATTTATTATTTTTAAATAATGGACAGGTCAAAATCTGGGCAACTAGTTTTGGTTTCTAAACTCAACCAACCTGTAACAAACCTGCCCAACACATCCTATAACTCAAATATAAAGTAAAAAGGATGTAAACAAGATAACAATCAACTACCAACATCCACGGACACATGTCCGGATCACTGTACAACAAGGGTAAATCCGGGATCGCTATATAATTTTAAATTAACAACACTAAAAAAATAATTTTATTTAATATGTAAATTTAATTTTTTAACAACATTAAAAAAATTTAATTTATAAGGCCATACTTTTTAATTTATTATTTTTAATTAAATTTAATTTATAATTTATAATTTATAATTTATAATTTATAATTTCAATTTTTTATTTAATATATAATTTTAAATTAACAACACTAAAAAAATAATTTATAAATGTTGAAAAGACTATTTTACCCTTTTCTAATTGTTTACTAAGTAATAGCATAGAGGGTAAAATGGACATTTCACAAAATAATCTCATGAGATACCAATCCCATGGTTTCTATCCCACCTCCCCCATGGGATAGGATAGTCCCATATTTGGAGCAAATTTTTTTAAACAAACAATGGACTATTAGTTCGGTGGGATTAATAGTTCAATCTCACCCCCTAATCTTTCAAAACAAACACACCCAAAGTGTAAATATTTTATTTTTTAGTCAATTTTTTTTTTTACTTTTTAAATAAATTTTATCTTGATATATAGTCCACTTGGAAAGGAAACAACTCAAAATTAGCTCAATCCTATCTCTAACACATGTTGGATTGTTTTCAAACAAATGGAAGCAAATCATTGTTATTAAAATCTAGTCTCCGTGATCACTTGTTTTCATCGAGAAGTTATTGTTTACTGTAAGGGCAGCAGCGTCATGTGATGCTCCATATATATTATAATTGATGGAAGGATTAAATCTCATGATGATTAGAAAATATCTTTAAGACATGATTACATGATGTTCCAAAATCAACTAATAACTTTACGTAGTCATTATCTTTTTGTTTTTGAGAACACACGCATTCCATGTGCTACTAACCCATTGCAATCCAAAAAAAAAAAAAAAAAATTATTAACAAGTTAAATCAAGAGAAGCAATGTATTATTTAAGTTTAGATTGAAATTTTAATTAATATTAATAATGTATTTCAATTTGATTTGGTTAAACTGTTGAACAAATTTTTAATGATTTTCAATTGAATAAATTTTAAACTTGAGTTAAACCCGGCTCTTTTACTATGTGAATGAACTCAAACCAAATGTATAGACTTATTAATAATCAAATTGATTCTGCATAACACTTAAACCTGTTTTGTCATCAAAATTTAGCCACCGCATATTCACGCTTAAACTTTAAACTTGAGTTAAACCCGCTCTTTTACTATGTGAATGAACTCAAACCAAACATTTAGACTTATTTAATAATCAAATTAATTCTCCATAACATTTAAACCTGTTTTGTCATCAAAATGTGGCCACCATATATTCAAGAGTGTGCGGCGGTGATTTCCGCACTATGAAGAAGGGTTGAACTTTGTAGAAGAATAGTCCAAGAAGTGAAGATATGCACAAAGTAGCAAACAGTGAAGCTATCCAACCAAGTTTAGTTGGAAATCCCTCTGATGGTAATCAGGAACTAGAGGAGACGAAGAAGAGAGAATGCAAAGAATGTGTATATGTTGAGTGTGTAGATTTCAATACCTTGAGGGTGAATAATGCTCACCTTTTATAGGAGAAAGTTGTTTATCCTTGAAGACCTTCTCTCTTCGCCATCTGTCTTATTCATGGTTGTCTCCTATTGGACGACCACTCCGCCTGACACTCAAAAACATGCCTGTCTTTTTTGTCTCATTAGTAATCGTTTTTCATTAGAGGATGACAACCACTTTGCCTGACTCTCAGGCATAGGTCTATTGTGTGTACGCATTGTTCCTCTGCCCCTTCACGTTCTGTTTAGACAGAAGGAAAGGAGTAGAGTTGTTTGTCTCTTGCGAGTTCAAGAAAAGCCTTCAATGTGTTGACCTTCTCCAAGTTAGTCCACTTCGAAATGGTTGTCCCACCTAAAGGTATAACTTGTTGCTCAATTCGCTTCGGAGAAAGCCATGCACGTTAGGCTGAACTTCCTAGTATCAATATTGGAGTACCGCCTGTAAATTGGGCCAAATCCCAATGATTGTCCTCTTTTGGGGCGAGTGTTGGCCATAGGGCCAAGCTCCAACTTAGCCCAACTTCAAAATGGGCCTAGCATCGGATCAAGCACTAAGACTACGCTAATTTTTATCCACTTCAACTGTCTTTAAAGTATCGAACAAATATATTTTTAATTAATTTATTAAAAAAATTAATTATACCAATACCCTTAAACTGTTAACAAATATTAATTTATACATTAATACTTTAATTATAAAAATATATTACTTTCACCATTTTAAACCATCTCTAAAATGGATTACTCGCTAATAGTTTAAAAAAAATCTTGATATAATTAATCTCCAAAAATTATTTTTTATTAAATAATACTGTTTAATATCTGGCTAAATATATTAAACATTACAAATGAGTTACAATTTAACCATTATAGGAAACCGCAAACACCAACCATACTACCAATAACAAACATTCATTTAAAAAGTTAAGCCTCTGGAACTAGTCATTCACCACTTAGCATAAACGAGTCCTTTTTTCTTCCCTGAAAATCTTAGAAAAAAAAAAAAAAAACAAAGAAGTCCAAGAAGCTTCTGAAATTGGCCCACAAAAAAGGTTTCCGAAGCATGTGACCCATTTGGCACGTGCCTCTCCTCATGCGAACCCTTTCTTTCTACACCTTTCTAATAGATAGATAATAATAATCTCCACCTACAAACAAAATCAATTACACACCCTCTGATTAACCCTTTGGCACTGTCTTAGCCACACGATCTCTTGATTATCTCCACCGTCCATATGATCCAACGGCTCTGATTTCACCTCCGTCCCGCCGAGTTGTAGGCGCAGCTCTTTTTGCTGCTCCGCCGCCTCACCTTCACATTCCCTCAACCGCTTCGCACCAATCGGAACACCGAACAATCTCGGCCTAGCTTCGTCCTCCGCCTTCTTCGACTGGTTGTTTCCGGCGGCGCCGACGGGAGGTTCTTCGCTTAACCGCTTCGCCGGCGGAAACAGATCGAGCGGATTCTCCGCCGGAGAACCGATTTCCGGCCGATTAATCGCGTAGTTCGACATCAAAGCGTAGATGTTGTCGCACAAATTCTTCATCTTATTCAACTCTGTATTGAGTTGCATATTCTCTTTCCTTAGCTTCTCGTTCTCGTCGATGAGCTCGGCGGTAGTGCCGGGGCTCGTCTCGCGACAGAGCATAGGTGTCGCCGCCGGAGATGAATTAGATGAGATCACTTGTTCCTCTCCTGAATTCGACGGTGCTGCTACCCCGGCGACTGTCACGGGCACCGCCGCGACGGTGACGGCGGCGCCGGTGGCTGGTGTCGGAACTTTCCGACGCTGTATATCGCATAGAAGCCGTTTTTCACCTCTACGGAAGCATTCGTTCGAGAATTCCCATCGATCAGGAACGACCTTCCGAAATCCCTAAAAACAAAAACAAAAACAAAAACAAAAACAAAAAATCAGATAGGGGTAAAATAAAGCCTAACTCAGAGGATTTAATCAGATCAGAGCAATTAGGTTTACGTAGGTGTTGAGTTGACGAACAAAACTGGAGAAATTGTTGTGTTTGAAATACTTTGGAAGCAAATCGCTGGCGAATTCGGTCGGATTCCAGACGATGAACGTAGATCCATCTTCGTTCCACGAGATCACGTCGTCGATGGTGCTGTCATCGACGAGCTGGTACGTTTTGGTTAGAAACGGCGTCGGAAGAGATCTGGACGCATCGCCGGCCATTGATTCTCCACCGTTCTGCTCTCCCGGAGGCGGAGGCGGAGGCGGAGCCATCGCGATCCACCTAATCAAAACGAAAATAAGCCAAGCTTCAAACAAAATCCACAACTACAAAAACAAAAAAAATCAATGAATTGAAAGAAAAGTCATACCAAATCGACAAGTGTGTATATGAAGGAATTGAAGCAGATCTGGTGGATGTTGAAGATTAGAGAGAGAAGCGCGATGCTAAAGGTGTGAGCATTTTTCTGGTAATTCTAGAAGCTTCCTGTAGCGAGAAAAGGGAAGAGAGAGAGAGAGAGAGATGTGGAAAGAGAAGGGAAAGGAAAGAACGAGAAGGTACGTTACGTTACGTCTTTTCGACAAGTTTCTCTATTCAGAGATGTTACAATACGTGTCAATGGATAAGAGGGTGTCGGACTTGTTTTTCTTTTTTGAGCCTTGGATGTATTTTATTTGCAAATTTAGCCCTTGAGTTTGATGTTTTGATTGAGAACAGAGCGGAACAGGATGAGAGTATGAAAGGGTTGAAAATATGTCGGATAATTTCTTAGGTTGCGTTTGGTATAACTTTTTAATTATAGTTTAAAAGTATGAGTTATATTTTGAGTTTGTGAGTTTTGAAATTATAATTTAAATGTGAAAAATTTGTTTGGAGAAAGAGTTTTAAAAATAATTTTTAAAAGAATTTTAAAGTGAGTGAGAAATTTTTGATGTGACATTTAATATTTGATACAAAAACTTACAATTTATAACCAAACATACAATTTAAAATTCTATTAAAACACATAAAAAAAAATTTGAAAATTTGGAAAATATTTTTTTTGAATATATAAAAATTGACATATTAATTACAAAAAAAAAAATTGTACTGTTTTGGTCAATCGGTCAAACGACCAATGGGATGTCCGGTAGAATATCTGGTGAGACGAGCGGTTAGGCCAAATTTTTAAAAAAAAAAAAATCAAAAATCGCACTTTACTGAGAATTTTCTACAGAGTTTTGTGTTTATTATGAAAAATTAATTCTAAAACTCTATCCAAACATGATGTTCCAATGTAGGGATAGAATCAAGATTTGAAAATCCTTCCAAACAGATTCAAGGAGCGGCGCTAATGAATGGAAGATGATATGAAATAAGACGGATAATAATTAGTGAAAGACTTTTTAATTATTGAAGAAAATAATGTAATTTTATATTTTTTGTATTGTAATTAAATTAAGAAAAATTTATCTATAAGTCCTAGTTTTTGAAAAGTTAAATTATTTAGTCCTAAAAATTTTCTTATACTCCATTTAGTCCCATTTGCATATCAATCTAATTTTCGAAACATTAATCTGATGTTCGAAATCTAATGTTCGAAACATTAATCTGATGTTTGAAACATTGTAATGGGACCTTTCAGTCTATAAGAAAACGTTTAGGACTAAACAGTGTATAAGTTATTAATTTGGGATTTATTGGTGCATCCCCCTTAAATTAAATAAAAAAATATAACAAATACAAAAAAAATTATAACAAAAGTTTTAAAATAATATTATAATTATTGAAGAAAATTAGTCATAATTAAATAAGAAAGGAAAATGATAGATATTTCAAAGAGATTTATCAAAAAATTTATTAAATGTCTTACATGGGTGTGAGATTCACACTATGTAGGTCTCATGCGAGTCCCACATATATGAGACATTTGGTAAAAATTTTAATAAATCTTTTAGACCTCTAATATTATTCAATAAAAAAATGGCGTAACTAAATATCCATATGATATGAGGTATGCATAATAGAATTCTCTTAATGATTATTAAAGTTGGTTTGCAAATATGTTATTTTAGTAATTTTTAACTAAAATATGAGTTGAAAAAAATAAGTATATTTGAAATGATTTTTTAATTTTTTACGAAAAAATATACTATAAAAAATAGAAAAAAAATAATAGAGGGGCCATTTGGAAACATGAATAAAAAGTCAAAAAATAACTTTTAACTAATTTTAGATCACATCACATTTCACATAAAAAAATAAAAAAAATTTAAAAAGTTAACTTTTAATCATCTTTTCAAAATACTTCAAAATCTTTTATTTTTATATAGTTGTTTAATTTTTTAGCTTAATAACTTTTTAACTTTTTTTAGTTTTTGTTCAAAACAAGTCTTAACAAGAGTTTAAAATATAAGTATATTAATATTTCGCGTTTTTTTTTTTTTGGATTTTTATTGAAAAGTCCAATTTAGAAGTGTTTTAACTCAAGAAGTCCATGAAGGAATTTTTTAACCCATTTAGTCCCATGTATGTATAGTTTTATTCCGTAAAGTCTATTTTCTTGATTTATACTATTTTCTTGGACACTTATACCCTTATATTTAATTTTGATACTTAATTTTGATACCCTTATAAATATTTTTTGAACGATTAGTAATTTAATGATGTAAACATTCATATTTTAAAATTCACATTGGTAAGAATGTAAAATTACCCGTGGGCGGCCCGAAACCCGCTCGTGAGCCAGGGTGGGCCCGGCCCATTGACAATGTGAATATTCACATTGACATGTTAACATTCACATTAATAGGAGTGTAAAATTGGCCCCCGTCCCGTGGTGGCGCGAAACCCGCCAGCGGCCCATGGGCGACCCGGGACGGGCCCGGTCCGGCTCGTTGACAATGTGAATATTCACATTGACATGTTAACATTCACATTGATAAGTGTGTACAATTGGCCCGTGACCCGTGGGCAACCCGAAGCCCGACCTTGGGCCGAGGTGGACCCGACCCGTTAGCAATGTGAATATTCACATTGACATGTTAACATTCACATTGATAGGAGTGTAAAATTGGCCCGCAGCCCGTGGGAGGCCCGAAGCCCGACCGTAGCCAGAGGCGGGCTTGGCCCGACCCGTGACAATGTGAATATTCACATTGACATGTTAACATTAACATTGATAGGAGTGTAAAATTTGTCTGTTGCCCGAAGCTCGCCCGCGGCCCGGGGTAGGCCTGGACCCAAACCCGGGCCGCCCATGGGACGCGAGTCAATTTTACACTCTTATCAATGTGAATGTTAATATGTCAATGTGAATATTGACATTGTCAACAGGCCGGGCCGGGCCCGCCTCAGACTGCCCACGGGCCGTGGGCATGTTTCGGACAACCACGGGACACGGGCTAATGTTACACTCTTATCAATGTGAATGTTACCATGTCAATGTGAATATTCACATTGTCAACGGGTCGGGCCCGCCCCGGCCCGGGGTCGGACTTCAGGCTGCCCACGGGTCACGGGCCAATTTTACACTCTTATAAATGTTAATATTAATATGTCAATGTGAATATTCACATTGTCAATGAGCCGGGCTGGGCCCGCCCTGGGCAGCGGGCAGGCTTTGTGCCACCCACGGGCCACGGGCCAATTTTACACTTCTATCAATGTGAATGTTAATATGTCAATGTGAATATTCACATTGTCAACGGGCTGGACCGGGCTCGTCTCGGGCCGCCCACGGGCTTCGGGTCACCCATGGGACGCGAGTCAATTTTACACTCTTATCAATGTGAATGTTAACATGTCAATGTGAATATTCACATTGTTAACAGGCCGGGCTGGGCCCGTCCCGGGCCGCCCACGGGCTGTGGGGTAGTTTCGGGTAGCCACGAGGCGCGGGCTAATTTTATACTCTTTTCAATGTGAATGTTAACATGTCAATGTGAATATTTACATTATCAACGGGTCGGGCCGGGCCCGCCCAGGGCAGCTCACGAGTCGCGGGCGGCTTTCGGGCCGGCCACAGGGCACGGGCTAATTTTACATTCCTATCAATGTAAATGTTAACATGTCAATGTAAATATTCACATTGTCAACGGGCCCGGGCTTCGGGCTGCCCACGGGTCACGGGCCAATTTTGCACTATTGTCAATGTTAATGTTAATGTTAATATGTCAATGTGAATATTCACATTGTGAACGGGCCTACTCGGGCCCGCCCCGGGCAGCGGGCTGGTTTCGGGCCGCCCACGGGCCACAGGCCAATTTTAAACTCTTATCAATGTGAATGTTAACTTGTCAATGTGAACATTCATATTATCAACGGGCCGGGCCGGGCTGGGCCTATTTTTTTGGCCTGTGGGCCGGCCCGTTCCGACTCGAATTTTTCCGGGCACCCACGAGGATCGACATGGGCCGGGCCCTTACACATTGACGATATGAACATTTACATTGACGGTGTGATAAATTGCTAATCGTTCAAAAAATATTTATAAGGGTATCAAAATTAAATATAAGGGCATAAGTGTCCAAGAAAATAGTGTAAACCAAGAAAATGGACTTTATGGAATAAAACTATACATATATGGGACTAAATAGGTTAAAAAATTCTTTCATAGACTTCTTGGGTTAAAACACTTCTAAATTGGACTTATCAATAAAAATCTTTTTTTTTTCAATATTTAACAAATTTAATTATATATACACAAGGGCCTATTTGTGACTTTTTATTGTTAGAAATAACTTGTCGAGGCATACGGTACAGGAACGGGATAAATTGTCATCCCAACATTTATTACTTTCTCCCTTTTAAAACATTAGTTTTCTTATTTTATTTTTTATTATCTCAAAATATTAGTCTCTTTTTTAAAATTAAAGAATAAAATAATATAAATTAGAAAAATGTTTAAGGGCCACAATTTTTGTAACCACAATGGCTCAAAACTACCAAAACGACGTCGTTTTGGGTGCAAAACATGCCAAAACGACGTCGTTTTGACAATTTTGAGCCATTGTGGCCACAAAAATTGTGGCCCTCTAGCATTGTTGTATAAATTATTATTTTACTTTTCTTTTAAATTTATTAATAATACAAAAAGTAAAATTATGACAATTGATATTTTCAAAAGACGTATTATTAAAAGGTAATTTTGAAAATTTAATATTCTTAAAATATAATAATTGTACTATAAAAAAAAATAGATTTCTCAAAAGAAACCATTATTTTGAGGCAGAGGAAGTACTACATAGGCTAGCTATTATTCAGTGTGTTTGGTTTCAGTTATTTGAATTCAGTTTTTTAAAAATTGAGTTTTTTTGTATTTCTTATTTTTTGTTTTGTTTTTAGTGAATATTTTTAAAATTTTAAGCAATTTTGTTACTTTTTTAGATAAACCTTACTTAGATGTTTCTAAATAGTAAAATATTTATGAAAAAATATTTTTAAAAACTAATAAATACACAAAAATACAAAAATATATACTGAATTTTCATATTTTTTTAATATTTTTGGTATTTAGTAAATTTTTAAAGATTTTTTTTCACAAATATTATACTTTTTAAGTATATTTATATTA